CTACACTTCTCATCGGCATATCACCCACAGACGGACGGCCAGACCGAGCGGACCAATCAGACCATGGAGCAGCTGATCAGGACAAACTGCTCCGACCCTGCCCGCTGGGAAGAATCTCTCGCAATGTTGGAGTTCGCCTTCAACAACGCGCCGTCCAGTACGACTAATCACTCCCCGTTCTTCCTGAATCACGGGATGGACCCGACGGTTCCTACGGCAACTACTCTCGACAACCCGGTCCCGAGGTCACAGACTTTTGTGACGGAACTTTAGGAAGTCCGAGAAAAAGCAGCAGACGCTATTCGCAAGGTGAATATAACTTCCCGCAAATACACCGACCTTCTACGCCGGGAACTCATCTTGACCACTGGGCAACTAGTGCTACTTGACACGAAGAAACAGCACCTGCCCGGCCCGTCAAAGCTACGGCCCCAATTTTGTGGGCCATTCAAGATTATCAAGATGGTGACACCTGTCACCGCGAAGCTACTGCTACCTGACGACTGGCGCATTCATGACGCCTTCCATGTCAGCCTGCTTCGAAAGTTCGTGCCAGCCACGACCGACATTGCGCGCTGCCCCAACTGCATGACCTGTCCCGGAGCCGACTCTTCACCCATCGAAGATTTTGGCACATCGGTGTTAGAATCTAGTGGCAGGAACGAATGAACTATGAAAGAGTTGGGTACAAATGTGAAACCCTTATGGCCATGTTGGCTACCTCACTACAGCCTACACATATATGACATACATAGAATTTGACACACCCCCATAGGCAAAGTGGGGGAGAGCAAGGGGTCACCAGACCAGTCAAGAGAAGCAAAGCAAGCTCAGGGTGGATCACAGCGTCACCACACACACTGAGCACAAGCAAAGAGCCACAAGGCCAGTTCACATGCAGAGGTATATATGCAATAACAACAGCACAGTGATCTCTACCTACCAAGAGTAAGCATGCAAGTATATATATACATATATATATATAGATCACAGTACAGGCAGAGCCTACAACAAGTGAGGAAACGTAGGCACAAGGCCCAACAACGTACAAAAGCGCTGATGATCACCAGGCGGAAGTGCCTTGGTGAATGTATCAGCAGTGTTGGCCTGATTGGCCATGAGAGCAAGACGAAGGTGACCACGCTGCTGCAACTCTCGAGCAAAGAAGTAACGCAGAGCGATGTGCTTCGTTCTATACTCTAGTCTGTGCTCCTGACACAAGGCAATGGCGTCCTTGTTGTCTACGTACTGCACTGGAGGAGAACGAGGCCGCTCTCCCAAGTCGGTCAGCAGGTAGGTAAGCCAGCGTAACTCCTGTGCAGCCATGGCTGTGGCGTAAATCTCATCCTCACAACTGGAGCTGAGAACTGAAGACAAGCGTGTAGAACGCCAAGAAACTGAACTAGAGCCAAGGCTGAAGGTGTAACCCTGTGACGACCGCTGCGTAGCCTGGTCGTCAACCCAAGAAGCGTCTGAGTACCCAGTGAGGACAACGTCGCTCCGTCCTCCAAGCACGAGCCCCATGCCCGATGTACTTCACAAGTAGCGTAGTACCCTCTTAGCAGCATCCATGTGCGCCTTTCGGTGCCGACCAGGAGCCACGTAGCGAGCCAAAAGGCCAAGAGGGTACGCAAGGTCAGGACGAGTGCAGGTCATCAGGTACATGAGGCAGCCCACTAGCTCTGGGTAAGGACCACTCGGCTCTACGGACTCGTCCGAAGGTGGAGCTGAGAGCGAGTGACCTGTAGCCAGAGGAGTCGCCTGTGCCGAGGACCAGGTGAAGCCGAAGCGCTGAAGGATATGCTGCACCATGTGTGACTGAGTCAGTGTGATGGTGCGGCGTGCTCTGTCCCGGGTGATCTGCAAGCCAAGGTAGCTGCGCAGCTCACCCAGGTCTGTGCACGTATGTCTCTTCTGCAGCTTCGACTTCACCAGGGCGAGAGCCTTAGTGTCAGCAGTGGCAAAGACCAAGTCGTCAACGTACACGAGGATGTAGAACAGCGGCAGCGAAGTGTCGGTGCGCAGAAACAGCGACGGGTCAGTAGTCGACGGAGCAAACCCAAGAGCCGCAAGTGTAGTCCTCAGTGTGTCGTGCCACTCACGGGGCGCCTGGCAGAGAACGTAGACTGGCCGACGGAGGCTCCACTGAGTATCAAGAGGGAAGGACCCAGTGAAGCGAGGTGGGCGGCGCAGCCAGATCTCCTCGTGCAAGCTGCCCTGTAAGAAGGTTGTGCTGAAGTCAAGAGAGTGAAGCTCGTGGTCACGTTGAGTGACAACGTGCAGCAGCACCCGAAGAGTGGTCATCTTCGGGGTGGGGGAGAAGGTCTGGAAGAAGTTGACTCCCTCCCACTGACTGAAGCCTCGAGCAGCGTAACGAGCCTTGAAGACAGGCGGAGAACCTGGCGGTCGCTTCACCCTGAAAATCGACATGCCATTGACGATGTTCGCCCCAGGAGGGGGAACCTCGTCGACGTAAGTGCCTCTGGACTTCTAGGATGCCATCTCTGCGTCCATGGCTGTCTGACACTGAGAGGAGTAGGGACCCGCGATCGCCTCCGTAGACGAAGGGAGACTAAGAACCTGGCGAAGCACAGAGTCAGACGGCGGCTGAGACGACGGAGACGGTGGAGCAAAGAACAGGCGCGGCTGTGCAGTGCCACCAGCACCAGCAGCTGCAGTACCCCCAGCAGCTCCAGCACCTCCAGCAGCTCCAGAAGCCTCAGCGCCAGCTCTTCCAGGACCAGCTCCACCAGCAGCAGCACCCCCAGAACCGGCACCTCCAGTCCCAGGGTCTCCAGCCTCAGTGTCTCCAGCAGCAGCACCCCCAGACCCAGGGTTTCCAGCAATAGCACCCTCAGGCTCAGCACCTCCAGCCCCACTAGCTCCAGTACCTCCAGCGGCCGAGCCCCGAGCTCCAGAAGCGCGACCCTGACGGCGACTGTACCAGCCGTGCAGCTGCTGTGAGGTGATAGGCACACGCGGACGAAGGCGGCTACTCCAAGGAGACCGTGCAACAGCAGACTCAGAACCCTCAGGCGTCGCACCTCCAACACCAGCACCCGCAGCAGCTCCAGAAGCTCCAGCTCCAGCGCCACCAGCAGCTCCAGAACCTCCAGCGCCAGCACCCGCAGCAGCTCCAGAACCTCCAGCTCCAGCGCCACCAGCAGTAGCACCCCCAGAGCCGGCACCTCCAGCTCCAGGGCCTCCAACCTCAGAGTCAACAGCAGCACCTCCAGGCCCAGCAGGGCCTCCAGTCCCAGCAGCTCCAGGAACTCCAGTAGCAGAGTCACCAGCTCAAGCGCCTCCCGCAGCAGGGCCCCTAGCTCCAAGAGCGCGACCCTGACGGCTAACGTACCAGTCACGCAGGTGCTGTGGGGAGAGAGGGAGACGACGACGAGAGTGCAGCGGCGAGGCACCAGCAGAGCGACTATGGAGACGGCCGCTCCAGGGAGACTACTCACTAGACGCCTCAGCACCCCCAGGTGCAGCACCCCCAGACTCAGTACTCCAAGCTCAGCACCCCCAGACTCCTCACGCCCAGGCTCAGCACCTCCAGGCTCTGCACCCCCAGGCTCAGCACCCCCAGGCTCCGCACCCCCAGGCTCCGTACCCCCAGGCTCAGCACCCTCAGAAGCAGTACCCCGAGCAGGACCACCCTCAGCAGGACCTGAGTCACCAGTGACCTCAACCGGCGCAGTCAAGGGAGGAGGGTCTACCTGAGACACACCTGAAGGAGCAGGACTGGGAGCAGGGAGGGGGTCTACCTGGGGAGCACCTGGGGCGAGGAAGAGTGGCGGGGGGGGGAGAGGGGCAGTGAGGTAGGGGAAGAGACGGTAAAAGGGAACCGACTCGTCGAACGTGACGTCCTGAGAGGGGAAGACACGGCGCGAGGTGGGGTGGTAAAACTGCCAGCCAGGCGCGTCAGGGACAAAGAAAAGGAAGACACAGGGAATAGCACGGGCGGAGAGCTTGTCCGCGGTGGTATCGCGGACAAAGGCACGAGAACCCCAGACCCGGAACACCGACGCATCGCCAACCTTCCCCGCCCACTGCAGTGTGGGCGAGGTCTCCGGCAAGGAGACACGGGGCCAGAGGTTGAGCTGATGCGCGGCGTAGCGGACCGCAAACGGCCACAGAAAATGGGGGGCAGCCCCATGGACCGCAAGCAGCGGGACTGTGTGTGACTAAGCGTCCCGCAAGCCTGACCAGCCCGATCACCTGTGCGAATGACGTACGGGCAGCGAACGGTACTCCGAGACCCTCTACTCTGAGCGTACCACTCGTGAAGCTGCTGGGGCGTAAGTGTCTAGCGCGGGCGCCGCTGCAGCTGCAGCTGGCCACTGCTCTCGAACGACCTGCTCCAGGGCGACTCCCATTACGGCCACCCGTACAGCCCCAACTAGCGTACCACTCACGAAGCTGCTGGGGCGTGAGGGACTCACGCGGACGTCGCTGGAGCTGCATCTGGCCACCACCGGTAGCAGCAGCAGCAGCAGGAGTGGCAGTGCAGCTATAGTAGCAGTGGCAGCTGGAACAGCAGTAGCAGCAGGGTAGAGCAGCTGCAGCTATAGTGATTCCTTATCGGGGTTGACTGCTTAGCGTACAGCCCGATTTTCGGACTTGGCACGTTCGGCCGATTTCAACGCTGCCGAGGCTCCTCGCGTCGCCTTCGGCATTTTCCCATCGCCAAACCTGCACCCAACCTCGCTCGTCCGAGGTTCCCTCCTAGCTAGGCCAACCTCTACATTAGTCTGTGCCTTCATTGTATTCTCAGTTCAGTGAATCACAGTCTCGTTATTCGTTTACCTGCGCACTCTCTTTTACAACTCATAACAACCTCGATCCATTGCACCCGTAACATGCAGAAACTTGTTCTTACCTTGCTATGATTGAAACTGTACAAAAGGTTCCCAGTTAGGGATTATAATTTACACGTAAAGAATTTGCATATGTTACCATGTTACCATGGTTTTACTATTAGTATCCATGTTACCATGGTTTTACTCTCTGAACAGACTAGAGCACAGTAGATCGGAAACTAATCTGATGGAAAAAAACGCTACTGAGCTGCTGCTCCTATCAAGGCCACAGTTGTACCTCCGTGATGCAGACTCACCAAAACGAGCCGAATCCCTTCCACACTCATCCGCATCCTCATCTTCACAATAGCCAGCCATCCTACTTCCATATTGCGATACATGAGGGGCTATGCTCATGCTCATGTGTCTATGAAGGCCCACCTTGGCCATACCCATGCCCATGTCCCTCGCGTGCGGGTTCGCTCTACCACCACTCATTGCCATAGCATACCCCCCCATGGACACATCCGATCCCCCAAAGCTCAATGGTGCAGCTTCCATGTGTCCCCTACTAGCCACACCCACGGTATGCCCCCCAGAAGAGTACGGGCGCTGTGGCATGCTAACATAAGCAGGCCCGTGGTTCCACGCTGCTGACTCAGCAGCACCCCCCCATCCAGCTCCCAAACCTCCACCCCACGTTCCATCCACGTCAGCATCCAATTCTTCTTGGGACTCGTCCATGTCATCAGCGTGAGGAGGCCAATAAGACACGTCCATGTCAGCACTCATGTTCAAGCTGCCACACCGCCTCATACCCATCCTGTTCATATGTGCATGATGCAAAGGCCCCATCCTTCCAGCACCCACTCTGCTTCCCATGCCTGCACCATCACCCAAGCTTGCAGCACCACCTATGTCCCCACTACCATTCATGCCATGCCTCACCAACACATTCATGCTTCCTCCAGCAGTCACTGGCCGCACCGCCCTCCCATCTCCAATACCTCTTCTCCCCCCCCCTCCTCTCCCTCCCCTACCTCCTCTTTCTCCCCTCCCTCCCCTTCCTCCTCGTCCTGCTCCTTCCCTTCCACCATCCAAGCCCTCTGCCCTGACTCCTACCATCCCTCCGCTCCTCATCCTCTGTATAAACCGCCTCTCTCCATCCATCCCCTGTATAAGCTGCCTATCCGCATTCATCCCCTGTATAGACTCACCCACCAAGCTCATACTAGTGCTACGAAGTGGTGCTGGCCGCACGTGTGGAAGAAACGGGATTCGAGGAACATGCACTGAAGGCATCCCAGCAGCTCTTGCTGCGACTGCACTTGCTGCTGCTGCACTGTTCCCTTGTCCTGCTGCAGTGCTGTGGGAACGGGCCAGCTGGGGAGAAGAGAGATGCTGCTGCCTGTACACGCCAGCGGAACCTCCTGCTGCTGCTGCCCTGCTATCTTGAGGAGCGGCAGTGCTGTGAGCACGGGCCAGCCGCATCTGTGAGTGTAGCTGCTGCTCCCTATGCATGCCAGTCGCACTTGCTGCTGCTGCACTGCTCCCATGAGGCGCTGCACTGCTGTGAGCGCGGACCAGGTGTGATGAAGGGTAGTGTTCCTGCCTGTACACGTCAGAGGAGCTTGTTGCTGCTGCCCAGCTCGCATGAGGCACTGCTGTGCTGTGAGCTCGGACCAGGTGCCCTCGGGGGTGCTGCTGCTGCTGCTGCTGCTGCCACTGCTGCCAGTGCGTGCCACTGCCGGCAGCAGGCCTGAAATCAGCCACTGCGCTGGCACCTGGGCTACTGGCGGACGGCTGCGGTCCCAATGGAGACAAGGAACGCCGCCTGCCGCCTCTGTACTGACCGCCTTCAGGAGGGTCACTGTTCACAGCACCGTCTCCGATTCTTTCCACACCACTTGCTTTCACAGCATTCCCACCGTTCCCTCGCCCCCCCTCTCTGCTGGCCCCCATGCCCACTCCCTGTGGCCGGCTGGCACTGAGCTCTTGCAGGAAGCTGCGAGCAGCACTGGGCTGGCGAGTCACAGCAGTGGCTGGGCGGGAGGGTGAGGGTTTCCGAGACGCATCAGAAGCCATGCACACCCCCTCGGGTTGGCTCGCACTCAGCTCCTGCAGAAAGCTGCGAGCAGCACTGGGCTGGCGAGTCACAGCAGTGGCTGGACGCGGCTGGGAAGGGTCTTGAGTCTCCTCACCAGTCATGCCCACTCGCTGCTGCAGCCCGCTGGCACTCAGCTCTTGCAAAAAACTGCGAGCAGCGCTGGGCTGGCGAGTCACAGCAGTGGCAAGGCGAGAGGGCGAGGGTTCACGAGGCGCTGGGTTGATGGGGGATGTTGAGTTGATGGGCTGGGCCGGAGGTGGAGTGATTGAGGAAGCAAGGGAGGCGGTGACTGGCCGTGGTGTGGCCTTCTCCCCTCCTCCCCACTCTCCTTCTACCTCCTCTCCCTGTAAACCCTCTCTTCCCTCACTTCCGCTGTCATCTCCACTCCTAACCCCTCGCGATTCTTCAGCCTCCTCGTTCCCACCCTCCTCCCCACCTTCCTCCCCACCTTCCTCCCCACCTTCCTCCCCACCCTCCTCCCCACCTTCCTCCCCACCTTCCTCCCCAACTTTCTCCCCACCCTCCTCCCCACTTTCCTCCCCACCCTCCTCCCCACCCTTGTCCCCACCATCCGCCCCATCCTCCTCCCCACCCTCCTCACCACCATCTGAGTGCAGAACCATGCTGCCAGCAGGGCTGCTAGGGCCATCACCCCCACCAGCATCATCATCACCACCATCACCACCACTGTCCCTGCCACTGCTTTCGCTGTCACCATCATCCGCACTGCCGCTGCCACCACTGCTGTCACCATCACTACCACTGATCTCATCCCCACAAACGCTGCCACAATCGCTGCCACCATCGCTACCACCACTGCTCTCACTGCTTTCACCACTGTCACTGCTGTTCTCGCTGCTGTTCTTGCTGCTGTTCTCGCTGCTACCCCCAGCTGATCTGGCCCCATACCCTTGGGGACTACTGAATCCAAAGCAGCTGGGCGCCGAGCCTCGGTTTGCTGACGAGCCTGGGCTGCAGGCTCGGAGGAACATACCGGGGAGGTTCAAGGCTCGGAGGCGGGGAACGGGGCTGCTGTTGCGAGAACGAGTGGGTGAGTGATTGGGAGAGAGGGTAGTAGAGAGTGTGGGGGAGAATACAGGGGAGATGGACGAGGAGGGAGGGAAGGGAGAGGAGGGGGGCCGGGACCGCGAGAAAGGTGAAGAGGAGAGTGTGGGGAAGCGACGGGAGGGAGAGCGAGAAGGAGAGTGGGAAGGGGAGAGGGTGCGTAGAGAGGGGGACCCTAGAGGACTCTTCAAACTGCTTCTCTGGCCGCGTGCATGCCCGCTGTCTGCATGCGCGCTGCTTGCATGCCCCCTGCTGGCACGGCCGTTAGGGCTGGCAGTGGCAGGGCGGGCAGGGGAGGAGAGGGGGCTCGGATTGCGGGGGAAGGTGCAGCTGGTGAGCGCTACCAAGGCACGGGTGCCAGTGCTGGCTTGCCTCAAGTGGCGGAACCTTCTAGGTGAATCGCCACTGGGACTCCTGCTGCCAGCACCACCAACACCATCAGCACCACCAGAACCACCATCGCCACCATCACGATCATCAAGGTCAGCAGCAGGAGTGGTGCCCTGGTGCTGGAACTCACTCAGAGTACGCCTGTGCCTGGTGAAACCCTTCCCCTTGCTGCTGCTACCGCTGGGAATGAGTGTGTGAGGCTGGAAGTCTAACCCAATGCTGCTCACGCTCCTGACTTTCCTCCTCCTCACCGCATCCCCGCTGCTGCTGCTACGAGCAGCCCTTGTAGCAGTAGCCGAGCCCTGACTAGACGACCCTGGCCCTTGCATCTTCTGCAGCACCACTCGGCTTGCTGAGCTTGCCGCACACACTGCAGCCGAGGCAGCAGCGGAGGCAGCCGCAGAGGCAGCCAAGAGGAACGAGCCAGGCACAGCTGCAGGGAAGAGGTCTGCTCCACCTAGGTCATCACCAGAAGCGGTGCTGGTGCTGCTGTGATGCTTGGCTCTGAGAGTCACCAGGCTCCTGCTGCGCCCGTGCCTCCCTACCCCTCCCTTCCCCTTCCCTTCCTCCACTCTGGCTTCGGATCCCTCACCTGCCCTCGCATACCTCTCTTCATTTCGTGAGTCCTTTTTCTCCGACCCTTCACATGAAGGAGTTGTTAGGGAGGAAGCGTGTGAGTGGGATAGTGAGTGCGAGTGGGAGTGTGAGTGGGATAGTGAGTGCGAGTGGGAGTGTGAGTGGGATAGTGAGTGCGAGTGGGAGTGCGATTGTTCATGGGAACGTGAGCGTTCAACAGCACTGCCACTCCGCCAGTGCACTGACCGCCTCTCACCCCTCGGAGACTGCAGTGGCCCGCTGCGTGCCTTCCCATGCCCCTGCGGAGTTCGTTCCTGCTCTGCTCGCCTCTTCTCCCTTGAATCCTCCTGCCCCTGCTGCTGCCCGTGCTGCTGCCCGTGCTGCCCCTTCCGCCCTTGCTGCTGCAGACGCCCATCACACCCATCAAGCTGCGCGCATGTGTGACTGGTAGCATTACCACGCTCGCGCACGGACTCTGCACCCGTCTCATTCAACACATCGTGCCCCATGCACCTCGCCCCACCATGCTTTCGTTCCGCCCCATCGCACTCTCCCTCCGCCACATCGCACGCCCTGCCAGTCAAGTTCTCTACTACTGCTTCTGCCACACTCCACCTGGGCCGGTGCAGCGTGCGACGCTGCTCAACTGAACCTGAACCTGAACTCGAACCTGAGGCGGAACCTGAAAGCGACCCTGAACCAGGAACCGAGGCATGCTCAGAAAGAGAGGCTGATTTTGGCACAGCAGGGGAAAATCTCTCCACCGCTTTATATCGCACATCAGCCCACGTCACCGCCTTGGGCACATCACTTGTTGTCCTCCTACTAGCACCCCCTCTCTTTCCGTCCCTTCTGCACACTTCAACCACTTCACCCCGCGTTGAGACCCCCTCCTCATCAATAGCAATATCACCCATGCGACTCGTACCCCTCGCTTCCTTTGCTCCACACGGCTCCCCACGGCCCAATAGAACATCTGAGCCTGCGACAGCTTCCTTGGCTTCCTCTTCGCTTTTGCAGCTACTGCTGCAGCCAATGCCACTGCTGCTGGTGCTGCAACTGCTGCGGCGGGCAGCACCACTACTGCTGGTGCCACTGCTGCTGCGACCGATACCGCTGCTGCTGGTGCCGCAACTGCTGCTGCTCCCTTTCCTAGCAGCGGGCCAACACAGCCCTCTGCCCCCCGGCGCAGGCGTTTGTGGGGTCAATGGCGCTGCTCCTTCTGCGAAGCTTCCTACTGAGACAGGCTCAGCTGCAGTTAATGCAGCTGATTTGTCTTCCCCAGTTCCTGCCCTAGAGTCAGTGCTAACTATGAGGCCTGCTATCGTTTCAACACTCAGCTTTCGCCGCCACGCCTGCTGCTGCACTTGCTGCTGCTGCTGCTGCAGGCAGTGAGAAATGCGGTCAGAGAAGCTTGAGGAAGGCGGAAACGCTGCTGCTGCTGCTGCTGCTGTTGCTGATGCTGCTGCAGCAGTCACAGTAGCAGCAGCGGACGAGCTCAGCAGAGGACCGCTTTTCCATCTTTCCCCTTTCCGCCGCCTGCTCCCTTTCCGCCTACCATCGTTCCCCCCGGCGTCCCCCTTTTGCGTCTGCCATTGCCCCCGCTCTGTTACCTTTTCCTCCACATTTCTCCCTTCCCCCTGCTCCTGTTCCTCCCCCCCTTCTTCCTCTTCCTCTCCGCTGCTGCCCCACGTGTCAGACACCAATTGGCTCCCGAAAACCGGCATCGCCCCCACTGTGCGTCTGCGCGTTAAAGTGGCATCTCTAAACGCGTTTCCGGGTGGATTTCTTGCAGCGATTCCTGCAGCAGCGTCTGCGGCAGTCCCTACAGGAGTACCCGCTATGGTCCCTGCAGCAGATTCCGCGGTGCTGGCGCTGATATTTTCCGCGAGTTCGCTGAAGGAACCCCAGCCAGGCGCGTATGTTTCCGCGAAAATTCGGGTAGCGGGGGCAGAGGAGCGCAAAGGGGGAGCGGAGGACTTGCGGAGCAGCGTTCCCTGAGCCCCCGCCGTAGGGGGAAGCGCGCGGCTTTCCGCTCCTGGGGGCGTCGCGGGATGCGCGGAGGCTGCAGAGCGGGGGGCGGAGGAGTGGTGGAGGAATCGGCGGGCGGAAGGAGCGGGCGGAGCGAAAGCGATTTGGAAGTTAGGGCCAGATAACGACTTCGGAAAGAGGCTCTTATTGTTACGAGTGTGCATTGATTCTCCTTGGAGTGAACCGGACATTGGGAAAGCCTGCGTAACAGAACGCGCGCGAACACTGTACATGTCGCCTTCCCCCTCCTCTTCCCACTCTTCCCCCTCTTCTCCCTCTTCTCCCCCCTCTTCCTCCCTCACTTCCCATTCTCTCCCCTCGTCTCCTCCCTGCTCTCGTTCCTTGTCCTCCTCCGCGTCGCCCTCCTCGTCCATCAAATACCATTCGCACGGCTCGCTCCCCCGTCTGAACAATCCTCGACGCTGCAAACCAGGCGCGTCTGCTTCGTAACGATAAGATCCCCCCTTTGCCGGCCCTCCATCGTAAGAGTCGAATCCCTCCCGTCTTCCCGACTCTCCTTCGTACGGTTCATATCCCCCTCGTCTTTCCGACCCTCTTTCATATGCATAAAATCCCTCCCGCCTTCCCGGCCCTCCCTCGTACAAATAAACTTCCCCCTCCCTCCCCGACCCTCTTTCCTGCCGAACGCCGTCTCTCCAGCCGTCGTTCTCTTCGCATTCGCCATCTACTCGCGAAATCGCCGCCATTCGCGAACTGTCGTGAATGCATTCCGCTTCACTGGTCGAGATCACTTCAAATGCCTCGCCTGGAAACGGCTCGTCTGAATAGGTTTCGACATTGAATAATTCGATAGTGGAATGCTCGTACTCATCCTCGGTTGAATACGAGATCAACTCAGCGGTATCATCAGCCGTCCAACGGTCAACTAGCGCCATGCGGTGACGATCCAACGGCTACAAACGTCGAGCTTGCTTGAAAAAACAGTTCAACGAAGTAGCTGCGATAGAATCAACCGCGTACGACAGCGTGCGACAGCGTCCGAAAATGAGTGAAAATAACTTCTCACGACACGCCCTATTTCTCTCAACGAACTAGCGCGAGAGATTAACATGAGCATCTCACACGTGCCTTTCACGCTCTTGGCGAAACTTGAACGATGGCTACGGTTTTCGTGATGCTTCTGTAACTGGACACGGCAACGTGGAGCTAGGCCATGCCACTCCGTCGCCAATGTTTTCGCGAAACGACATTTTGAGGATCTCCTCCAACCGAAGCTGGCAGCAGCTCACGCCAGCCACGCAATGAGCTGTTGAAGAAAGAAGAGAAGCTATTTTCCCCTTCTGTGTTGCGTTGACCGAATTGCCACGTTGAGAAGGAATGGATGGACGAGAATCCTTGTGCCTGATCAGCTCCTAGGGAAGTGTTTTCAGCTTCCCCAACCCTGGGAAATGTTCGGGACTCACTGCGCACCTTAGGGGTTGGATGTGTTGCTGGGTGCACTGTCATCACCTTGGGAGGGGTTTGGTGCACGTCTGCACCTTGGGATATGGCGGGTACACTTTACGAATTAAACGAACAGTCTGGAAAGGAAACATACACTCAAAAGTGCTGGCCTGCTGGGGAGACTCAAAACTGGCCTGGAGGGCACGGGAATATGTTTTGGGGGAAGGAGGTAGCGCGGAGGTTTGCGAATGAGATAGGTGTGCCGAAGTTTCCGAGACAAAAAGCAGTTGGGGCAATAAATGCGGCTGACATCAGCAATGGAGAGCCTGCAAGAACCGCACTCCACCCACCATTCTGTATACGTGTACTGTATTCAATTGTTTGACCAAATTACAAGTAGGCAAGCAAACCATGTTCAGCTCACAACCTAAAAAGTTACGTTACAAGACTCTCTAGGTTAGCTGTACATAAGATTGTAAGCCTGCATCCCAACAACCAGAGAAGCCAACCACACAATAATGGGCACCTGCACAGCAAGCAAAACATGAATATTAATTCACAGTGCACGACAGCCCTACAACAATTTTGGTTTGCTTCCATTTCCGGCTTCCATACCTTGCCAGTGACAGCGCTAACAAGCGCAGGTGCCGGGCAAAATCCAGCAAGACCCCACCCTGAGAAAAAAACCACAAGAGAGGAAGTGCAAACATGAGTCCAAAATCACACATGACGCAAGACACTGATACACAACAGGCAGCAGGAACGAAACAAAGAGTGGTTTCAATACCGTGAATGGCTGGGAGGCTTTCCAACCAAGAGAACCCCTCACATACCCAGTCCAAAGATTGCCGACCCAATGACTAGCTCCTTGGTGATTTCTTTCCGAGTGGGCAGCGCGAAAGACGGAGCCAGTAGCGGATGCCGCTGCTTGAGAACGAAGTGGAATGCGATTAGATTGAAGAGCACCGCTCCCCCCATCACGAACGCCAGACTGGGGTCCCACCCATGGATGGGGTCCAAAAAGGCCTTCACCTTGGCTGGGTTGAGCCTGATATTGGTGGGGGGGCATGAATGATAAGGATGAGACACTTGAGGTGCCAAGTGGGTGGTGATACCACCCATGGATGGGATCCGAAAAAACTTTCATCTTGGCAGGGTTGAGCCTGATGGGGGGTGAAGGTATTAAGGTATGAAAAATTCAGAGAACAAGGTCGAACGTGGCTGATTCAAACAGCACCGCTTCCCCCATCACGCACGAACTACATGATTGGCTACTCATGCAACAACAACACTCACAAGATTATTGCCTAGTCATGCAATAAGAGTCATGATTGGCATATGAAGAGCGCTCACATGCCACTGAAGGTGAGGCCGACGGCAAAGACTGCTCCTGAGAGCACGGAGGAGAGCAGCAGCACGGGCGGCACTGCTCCTGGCACTGCTGCCTTGGGTGGCTGGTGGGCAATAGCGGGCATACGGGAGAAAAGGGACAAAGGGAGGGAATGGAAAAAAGGCAAGGCAGACAGTTGAGTTGACCTAGAAAACGAGCACTGCCGACAGCGCCCCTGGCGCTGCTGCCATGTGTGGCTGGAGGGCAAGCGTGGAGACAGATGAGAACAACGGTGACTTTTGAGTTGACTCGAAAGGCAGAAACACGGGGACACCCCCCTGCCTTGGGTGGCTGGTGACCGAGAGAAGAAAAGCAGGACACGAGAGATAAGATGATGAACAAGGGGCGAGAACCTTTTTATGAGACGTCTTAACAGAATATGAATAGGGGTGTATTTCACAGCGGTTGCAGCAAGAAACGGGTGGGATGCAAAGGGAATGCGAGAGGGGTGCGAGCTACAGCCCCCACGGGCATGAGCGGCTGACCTCGTCCTTTGCAACTGACGGTGGGGCAGGCAGCGAGACGAGGCTTCTGACGAGAAGCAACAGCAGAGAGGCCGCACTCACTGCGATGGGGCGTGCGGAGGGAGGAAAGGGAGCAGGGAGGGGGTGAGAGGTGGGAGGAAGGGGGGGGATAAGCATGATGAACGAAGAATTATACTCTCAAAAGGAAGCAACTGAGAGGGCAACACCTGGGAGGGCAGAACCAGAGAGAGCAATGTCTGAGTCGAGTCAAAAGCCAGCACCTGAGAGAGCAACGTCTGAGTCGAGTCAAAAGCCAGCACCTGAGAGAGCAGCTATCCAGGCATTAGTAGGCGGGGCGACGGGGGCGGCAGAGGCGACAGGTGGCAGCAGCGCATTGGAGAGCATGGATGCGATGGCGCCTGTGGTCATGAATGTGCAGACGGCGACAAAGCTGCGGATGGAGAGGCGCGGCAAGCCGCACACCCCGTGGCCCGACGTGCACCCGCTGCCGAGCTGGAGGAGGGAGGAGGGGAGGGTAGGAGAGGGTAGGGGAGGGTAGGGGAGGGCACCAATGGTTCATTGACGTATAGATGCTTGCGGGACCGCAAAGAGAGAGGCTCGGCAAGCCACACACACCGTGGCCTGACGTGCACCTGCTGCTGAGCTGCCGAACGGGGGATGGGAGGCGGGGAGAGGCCCGAGCAACGAGCAACGAGCAACTGAGGCAGGCACACTAGGCACCACGGCCTGGTATACAACCACCCACCCCCCCACCCGCCCACCCCCCCGCACACCCACGCACACCCCCGCACACCCACGCACACCCCCGCACACCCACGCACACCCGCGCACGCCCACGCACACCCCCGAAAGCACCTGAGAGCCGAATCCCGCAAGCACGCCAGCGACTGCGGGGAGAATGACGGATCCGATGGGGTCTTGCGCGGGCGCGGGGAAGGTTGGCGCGCCGAACGCGGAGGGCAGCGCGAGGTGCGCCGCGCAGCCGACGGCGAGCATGGACACGAGAAACGCGACGCGGAATGGCCAATCGGAAGCGCCGGAAATAGCGCCTGGCGGAAGGATTGGGGAAGAACAAACGGGTGGGGGTTGGGGGAAGGTGCGAGGTCAGTCTATAGATGACCTTTATCGTGTCGTGATAATACGCGGTATGGTTATGACAAAAATTACCGTTGATTATTCCCGAGGCGCCCATTATGCGCCCCGACATCAGCAGGTGCAGCGTCGCCGCCACGCCGATGAGAACTCCCCCGAATAGCGAACTCCACGGCGTGAAAACCGGCGCGCCGGCCGCTGCCGCCATGGCTTGGAAGCTTGCAGGAACTGCTATGGCTGGGGCGGTGGAAGCGGCAAAGCCTGCGCCTGAAGATACGGAGGCAAAGGCGGCAGATGAAACGTTCTGAGAGCTTTCGGGAGCAGAAGGAGCGATTGTAAGCTGCACGGAAGCTCGAAGGCCGGAAAAGCCGGCGGGAGTGACGGCGCGGTCCTCACGAGAAGAATCTGCGCGAATCGGCAAAAGAGCACTGCGACTTGCTTCGTTGGGAGGTAGTAAGAACGCTGGCCGTAACCCTAAAGTCGGGCCTAAAATTAAGGTCGATAGCCGGGTGCCAGTGGCACACGCAAGGGCGCGACGCCGAATAGTAGGAGCAGTTGCGTCTCTTCCCGGTGGTGCGCTGAGCGCATTTGTCTGGAGGAGGGCCCGCATAGCCAGGAGATAGCGCCGAGTGCGTGGCGGAGTGGACGGGCGGACAGGCGGACAGGCGGAGGGGCGGATGGGCGGAGAGGCGAATACGGGGGGCAAATTCTTGACTGGAACTCTATTTCCAACTTCCCGGAGATCAACGATCAAGAATTGCCCCTCCTGTCAAAGATCTGTTCTTTCCTCCCTGTTTTCGATTTGCATGAATTTCTGGTTGCTTGCAGGATATGCAATGCATGTTCTGCACGTTGCGCATGTGCGACGCGCGATGGCGGCAGCAGTGGGGGCAGATACGGTCCGTCCTCAGTTGAGATTCGCGGGATTCCCGCGATTCAAGTGCTTGGGAAAAAACGAAAAAGCCACAGTTGCCCCCTTGTGTAGGACTGTAGAGAAATTTTC